TGCTCTGCAGCCGCAGCCTTTCTCCCCCCTCCCCCACAGCTCTCCCTGGCAGAGAAGGGTCTCTTACTAGATGGGAAAACTGGTCACACTCTTTCCCTGGTTAAACCCTTCAGCAGCTGCACACTGCTCTTAGGCTCAAATTCAAGTCTTTACAGTGGCCCATGTTACCTTTCTCATCTGTCTGATCTCAATGGAGGCAACACCTCCTCTGGGAAGCCTTCCCTGACCCAGTACTCAGCCCCTTGTTGCTCCCTAAACTTTTTTCTCATACTACTTAGCTCCAATAATAATTAAACCTTCATTAGTGAAATGAATGATCTAATTAGTGGCCGTCATACCCCCAGATTCTAAACTCTTGTGCTTTTGTTACTCACCTAGCACTCAAAAGTCCCTGTCTAAAGGTGGGGGTCTTGATTGCCCTTTTGGGAGCAGGGAGAGATAGCTAAGATCTCCCCCATCCCAAACCTTTGGCTCCACGTGCCCCATCCCACAGCTGTGTGTGCAGCTGTCCCCAGACCCCATGCCCAGAGCAGAGGCAGGCATAAGTCAGGCTGCCTTAACAGCTCAACCAGGAGAGTGGGAAGTTGCATATCTTAGGGTGCCCAATTCAATCCTAGGCTTTAGCAAAGCCCATCTTGCCCTATGTTCCACAAAGCACTGGGCCTGCAGCTGCTGATGAATTAATCCTGGTGTGTAGACCCTAGTGCCTCCCCCTCAACCCATAATACACGTGTCAAGGCTTACAGCAGCAAAGGATGATCTATCTTTATTCAGGGGGCAGGGGATCTGGGCTGGAAGCTGGGGGTGTGGAGTTGTTACGTCGGTAGGTACCCAGCAGGATGGCATTGATGTGCTCCAGTGTCTGGTTGCTGAACACTATGTCGAGGTGCTGTGTCTCATGCAGAGGCAGCATGTGCACAGGCTGTGGCTGGAGGCCCTTCCATTGGGCACAGAGTTCACTGCTGCGCGTGGCCACCGTGTCATCACCATCCTCATAGAGAACATCTACAGGGTCTGTGTAGGGGAAGCCGTGGTCAAAGATGTAGGTGCGGGGCGTGGGGAAGCCCACGCCATACAGACAGTATACTTCCACACCAGGTGCTGGGAGTCCTTCCAGCAGGTGACGTGACTGTAGCCACATGTACCAGCCTTCCTCAAAGTGCAGGTCTGCAAAGAAGCGCTGGAAGTCACGGCCTGTGTAGTTGAAGGTGGGTGTAGAAATGAACACATGGTCCTCAGGCCACACCAGGTTGGCGGGAAATACCCAGGGGGATGTCGTCGTCATACGCTGCTTTTTTTTCAGCCTGATGCTGGACATGATTGGGATGCCCTGGTTGTCACCTGTGGACATGGAACAAGGTAGGCAGGGAGCCAGACCTGGCTGCCCCCAGCCCACAACTTGCCACCCGGCCCAAGCTCAGCTAGATGCTCAATTTTGTCCCAACCTAATCCAAACATCGACTCCAAGCCAGACTAGAACAGGCCTAGCATTTAATAGGTGCTCAATGTGCTTAATAAGTTAAATGAGAAGCCCTGATGGCACCTCTGTGAGGCAGAGCTGTAGAGTCTCAAAAAGAGGGCAGGGAGGGGTTTCCTAAGGATAGATGTGTATATGCGAAAGGTGG